CCTGTTTCAATTATATCTTATTTAATACTGTTTCAATCGTGGATGTAAAATGTAGTATTTATTTTGAATAAAATAAATACTATGAAAGAAAACTTTGTGACCGGTAATATACAAAAAGAGAAAATGGCCCACTGAACTAATGAATGATAATTTTAAAATTTTGCAAATTGATTCATTCTTTTGTAATGGATAGTTGATTACCCTCTGTTTATTTATGTTATTATTAGTCTGACTCTTCTAATGGAACTTTTCGATATAAATTTCTGTACTCAAAACTCTGTTCAAATTGTGAGATTTGTTTTCTTAGATAAGATCATTTAATGCTTATAACATTCATTTTCAACAAACGCTTTTATGGTTTTGAAATCTTCTGATTATTTAGGCAGCAAAAATGAATGTGAAAAAGAAGCAAATCGTTTTGATAAAATGTGGTCGAGTGACGGTGAAATGGCTGATTTAAGTACTGATGAAGATATTTTAGAAACGAGAGATACAGATGATGATGAATTAGATTCATGTGATAATTATGTCGACACATTAGGACATGATGTAGAAATGAATATTAATAATTCATCATCAAAAATAAAAAAAAATAAAACATTGAATGCAAATACAGGAAAAGTAGAAAAAATAAAAAAGAAATCAAATTATTTTGATGAACAAACTGCTACTATGAGTTGTACTGATAATGAAAATGTTAATTTACAAAAGCTAGATCGACCAAGAACAACAACAATGTTATGTGATATATCAAATATTAAAAACAATAATCACGGTATAATATCAGAATTATAAGTTGTTGTTTTCACGAGTTTCTAGTGATACCCAAATAAAGCAACTGAAAGCATACTGAATGCGATCTCAGATTGACATTATAGAAGTCTACAAGAGGCTCACATGTGCAAAGTATTTCTAAAATTGTATTTGTATACTTTGAGTATATATGTAGAGTGTCTGAATGATTTGATTTTACGCCAATAAAAATAAGAATTGCTTAACTATGTGAAAATTTTGGTTATTTTTAGATAATGGTCCATGTACAGAATCAAGCATATCAGTGTCACTTACTTTATCAGTAAAAGAAACATCATCTTGTCGTAAATGTTCTAATATTGATTTAGCTGATGTATGTAAACAAATGCGTATATTGAATAAAACAATTAAGAAATTGAATCAATATCAATATTCTAAGTATGTTTATGAATATTCTCCTTAAAAAGAAGACGGAAGTCTGAATTCATCGAAATTTTTATTCTAGATGAATGGTTTTTGTCATACACCTGTATTAGATGAACATACATCAATGGCATGTGATGAATTTAAATAAGGCTTTTTTTCCAGAATACTGCACGGAGTGTCTTTTCCTCCACAGTACTCCAAAAGTTCTGAAACTCAAAAGTCAACTACGTGGAACTCAATTCGACCATGACACTGCAATGTTGGATGCTTTAGAACAACCCATCAACACCTGACAAAAGACGATTTCAAAAACTGCTTCGATGACTGGTTTATTCGAATGCACAAGCGCATTGAAGCTAACGGACAGTACTTTGAAAAAATTCACTAGAACCAGGCTTTGATTATTTGTCTGAAGAGCTGTCGAAAAAGCTTTTGGAGTGCCCCATATGTACATTCTAGTTAATTTTACATTAAGTTTTAAATTTGAGATAATTAAGGTGGGTGTTCTACCCAAATATGCCCTCAAATTTGGCCGGTTTGTAGAGAACACCTCCAGTGGCATGTAGGATAGAGATATTTTTTTGACACAAAAAATGGTTTAAAACGGACTCTTTTGTTATTGGAGCTTGAAGGACCCATCTTGAATTTTTTGGTCCAAACGTGTTAATGTGCGTTAAATTCGAATTTGCACCATCACTGAAACGTAGATAGAAAAGCTACATTTTCCTACAAACAAAAAAATCTTGTTTGACTTACAGTTTATTCAAAACGAAAGCAACTGTTTCATTGCTAACAAAATGTGTTTTTTTTATTTCATTGTGCAGTTGACTGATTGATATTGTTGAATCGTTATGTTTCAGTCGATAATCGAGTGCTTTTTGCACTAACAATAAGATGGTTTCACGACGATGCAAAAGTATTAGATCACCTAAAAAGCGAAAGAATTCAGGTAGAAGTGGACATTTCAGAATGCTCGTGAAACTTACGTGGTTCACCTGCTTTTGGTTTTCACGGGATGTGGGTGGTTGAACTATAGCATGAAGCCAAATAATTCCATTTGTATCATGATCAAGACGATATGCTCTGGATGAATTTATTGTTTCCTCATAATGTTTTGGTGAGGATTCATTCGCACCAATTCCTTAAAAAGTAGAGTCAAGATATATTACATTGTAGCAGTTAGAGAAATCAGCTGACCGTCTTGCACAAATTTCGTCAATTTTGTTTGAAATGTTTCTGGAACCGGTATAAAATTTGACCATTTTCTCTCTTGTATTGCTTGTCTTTCAGTAAAATCAACAACACCGCCAAAAAAAAAGAAGAAAAAGATCGCTGTACCGAGTATTACCAGAAAGAACTGTTCAGCTTACCGATAGACTTAACGTCTTTGTGAAAAATGATTCTCAACATGAGAAAACAAGTTTTGAAGAAAATTACAATTTAGAAAGAAAGAAAACTACGCCGTTTTCTTTCTTTTTATGAAGCATTTTGTGATTTACCAATCAGCTTCACGTTCGTAAGTCAGTGAAAAAGGTTAAGATACGCTGTTGCTGGACGCAAACACAAAAGCATTAACATATAAATAAAATAAAAAATAAATAAACCAAAATCAATAATAAAATTAATTAATAATAAAATTAATTAATAATAAAATTAAAAATAACATAAAATTCTGTCGAGTGTTTTTCATAATTAGTGGGACAAGCGAGAGCAGATCTCTCCAAATTGTTTGAACCGATCTCCAGAGAAGATCCAGACCAGTTTTCTGGCCAAGAACTGGACGTTTCTCCCCAAAAACTGCATGTTCTCTCGTGAAGAAATCGACGTTTCTCCAAAAGAACTCCATGGTTTCTCGTAAAAAAATCGATAATTATACACAAGAACTTTTTATCGCCAAAAGACAATCATGTCTTCTAGTGGCGAAATCGCTAGTTATAGACAAGAACTTCGTGTTTTCTCGCGACGAAATCGATAATTATGCAAAAGAACTTCATGCTTTCACACGCAGAACTGCACGTTTCTCCGCAAGAACTTCATGTTTCGTCGTCACGAAATCGATCACATTCATACCTTCTCGTAGAGAAACAGACGTTTCCCCACAAGAACCTCATCTTTCTAGTGTTTACGTTTTCTAGTCAGGAAATCACGTTTCTCCTCAAGAATTTCGTGTCTCCTCGCCCAGAACTCGACATTTGTTCACAAGAACTTCATGTTTTCTCGTGACGTAATCGATAATTCTACACAAGAAGTTAATGTTTTCACGTCCAGAACTGGACATTTCTCCGCAAAAATTGCATGTTCTCCCGTGAAGAAGTCGATGTTTCTCCACAAGAACGTCATGTTCTGTCATGGACAAATCGATGTTTCTCCACAAGACATTCATATCTCCTCGTACAGAAATATACGTTTCTCCACAAGAACTTGGACAACACTTCTCCACATTTAAGATTACTGCTCTATATGTCTTGCGTCATTCCGAAAATTGATTACTGCTCTGCAATCTATGACTCTGTTACTCATACTGAGCCCTTGGAAATTGTTCAGCGGTTAGCAGCAGAATTATTGCAAGAGATTTCAACTATCTACATGATAGTAGGAGTTTAATAAACAAATTGAGGATTCCTGAACTGAAAACTAGGCGGTTGTATTTTCGTTTAGTTAACTACTTTCGTTTAATCAACAACTACTCCTTGCTAAGTTCTTCTAATCTTATCAGTCTTTCTACCACCAGAGCATCTGATCGTAATAGGCTCCACTCTCGCTGCGTCACGGTTCCCTTCTCTGAACTTGAAACAGTGAAATCATCTTTCTTTTGGCAAACCCCGCTTGTCTGGAACAGGATACTAACTGAGCCGCTTGTCAGTGCATCTAATCTGCGTATCTTTAAAGTTGGTTTGCGTAGTCTATTACAATGTTAGCATTTAGTGTCATCGTAACGTTCAAATTTTAGTTGTGTTTTCCTTTTTCTCTTTTCTGTTTTTTTTATTTTT